TATATATCATTATATTAATACATACTTGCGCGCGTTGGTCTGGCTGTTTAAATATTTCACCAACTATATATGCCTACATAAATTAATGCATACTTACGTACATTAGGCTGACTGTCTAAAAATCTCACAATAACTATACCTGTATAAATTAGTACTTACCTACAAAAAAATTCCATTGGGCTGACTGTCTACGTATCTCATAAGTAAGTATTATCTCACTGCCGCAAGACTCACGAAGTCATATGTCTATATAGATTGGTACATACTTACGTGGATCGGGCTGACCGTCTAAGAACTGGCAGAAGGCAGCGTGTAGGTGTGCTGCGCTTCTGTGAGGCTTGTTCTCGTATATATAGCAGCTGTTATGTACGCGTACCGCGTTCTACACACTCTACACAGTTCCCGAACACGCGAATAAACTCTTTGGAGTCCATCGCATTCACGTCGGAGATTGATCGCTGTCCGTCCGCCATGTTTAGCGTATAATTGCACACTTGCCAATGTTTAAAATAATGCTAAACAATGTTTAGCGCGGTCCGATGCACACGTTGGACTAACCGCACCAGGGTTCAAGGATAGAGATAATGTCCAGGACGGTGATAAGATAGGATGATGTTTATTATTGGACATGCTCTCTATCTTTGAGCCCGGACCAGGCTCTACGATTCTGTACTGGTTCACGTCAAGTTTCACCTTGCGAAGTGAGAAGCGATAAGGTAACTTGTGGCTAACTTAGCACCTGGTTGTGAGCTACGGGGACCTCTGCAGTGAAGTATGGTGTCTAGGGCTAGTATTCGCTACGCGTACTCACCACCGTGACGAACCGTCACACACCGTGATATTTTGGTCACTTTTCAGATTCCCGTTCTCGTCGGTTTCCGTAGTTTCACGTTTTACCTTGCCGCCTTGCGAAGTGAGAAGCGATAAGGTAACTTTTGGCTGGCTAACTTTGCACAAGTGAGACTACTGGAACCTCTGTTATATGAAATATGTTGAAGTATGATGTAGTTATTATTTACTGTCGCTGTTCGTATTTGCCACTCAACGCTTTCGTATCGCTGGAGCACTTAGTATTGGTGTCACTTTCGCACCTATATCGCACACACGTTTCACGGTTCAAGAAGCGAAAGCAGTTTATTGGTTATATTCGCTATTCTTCTTTCGGAGAATAAGAAACTGGATTTTCCATCGTCGGAATCGATGTAATCGACAGTTGTGTAGCATCTCTTTATAGCTACGAGGATGTCTTTAATTACTGGTTGTTATGCTGGACTATGTTATAACGGAGAAACTATTGGAAGACGTCGGTGATGGGCAGTATTGTCCGCAGGCATTGTGTAGGTAGTAGTGGCGCAGAAGACAAACGAATACACAGTAACATCGACTGCGAGCGATTATTATAGTGGAAAGTCTGACATAAGCTATATATATGTACACGCACGCGCACGCGCACGCGCTCGCACGCACGCACGCACGCGCGCACGCACGCACCGCGTACGCAACACGCACACGCACGCGCTAGCGCGCCGACGACACACACACACACACCACATATTATATATATATATGTGTGTGTGTGTGTGTGTGTGTGTGTGTGTGTGTGTGTGTGTGTGTATACACAAAGAAAAAGAGGGGGAGAGACTTGGGTGCGATACCATTTCCCTATTTATGAAAACATTGACAGGACAATATATGAGGTGAGTAGCCCATATAAGAGACAACAACTCCGTTTTCTAATCTAAATAAATATTTCACATCTATTTATATAGGATGGGTAGCAGAGCACGTACAAATAAATATACGTGCTCTGGTGGTTAGCAACCAAATCCATCTACCAAAAACCCAAACCGCTATCCCCTACATTCGCCAGCTATAAGTTATCGGGATGAGTTTGGGGTTGACAATCACGTCACAGTTGCGGCAGTACGCATAGCATGTCAGTGCGAATTCCCTCAACTTGTCAATCTGTTTTGAGAAAACTTTTTTTATTCGACGAAGCTATGGACGATACGAGTGAGGATGTGATCGTAGATATAGAATACAGAGCTGTATTCCGTACATCTGTATTCTATATCTATGATGTGATTCTATACGATTATCAGTAATCACGACATACACGCATACGTCTAGCGCGCGACACTAGCGCCGACCAACGTTGTTAATGTTATTCTCCTGGTATCTGGTGTGGCCATTGATCTCTATTATACTAACTAGTATTAGTTAAGTTAAGTTAGTTAGTTAGTTAGTTAGTTAAGTTAGTTAGGATAAGTTAGTATAATAAAAATCAGTGGGTGTGGCGCGAGGAAAAGGAAAGTGGCGCCATCTATAGGCATCATGGCCTTACTTTCCTCGGCTGTGCAGAAGCCCGAAGCTCCGTCTCGGAAGCAGCGATACCCAATACTGACGTCTTCAGCATGCTTCATAGAAAAATTCAAAAATTCCTATCATTTCTGACGAACAATCTACACCTTTCCAACTCTTTGTCATTTGAACAAAGGTCTGATTAATTATCGTTTATCGACTGCGATGTGTAACAATCACACGTACGTATCACAATTACATCAACTATAGTCCATGCCCGTTAGGTGGTCAGAACTTCTGTGTAGACCACATTCTTCATAAACACACACACGCACACACGCATACACAAACACATACACTACACGCATACACAAACACATACACTACACGCACACACACCCACACGCCCGCACGCACGCACGCACGCACGCACGCACACACACACACACACACACACACACAAACACACACACACGCATGCGCATACACACTAACTAAAAAAATAAGATGGCTTGTAAGAGTATTATTAGAGGTCAGTCTGAACGTTCTACCTACGTTTACGGTTGAACTGAGACATCAGGAGTTTCTTGATTGCGGGCGGTATCTTGTCAATGCTTAATGTCTCGACATGTCAGTGATGCCCTGCTTTTTGGTGGCATTAGCTGGGCACTTGTTATAACCAATTTTTTGCCGTCTGGAAACTTTGACTTATGGTATAACGAAATGCGCTGCATTTAAGAAACAATGTAAAAACAATGTATAACATTTCTCTGGTTAGATTAGATGGAGCGCCTTTGGTTATACATGGTTTTTTACATTGCCATTGTGTTTTCGTGTTGTGACGTCGCCCCGCCCTCGGTGCAAAAATTTCCCACTTTTTTAATGTTTTTGACCGTGGAATGTGAAAAAAATAAAACTGTTAAAAAAAATAGCCCATGCGAGGTGTCATGATCTGTAGAATGTTCCGCCCAAGTTCGGAGAGGATCCGTTGAGCGGTGCGGAAACGTATAGCCGGACACACACACACACACACAGAAAATCCCCAATTTATAGTAAGATTACCTTGGGTTGATCAATTAATCAATTGAATAATCAATTAATCACCAGAAATGAGTGTTTGGTTATCATGATCATGATTGATCATATCTGTGTATTCTCGATAGTTATCTTATTAGATAGATATCGAACATTGTGTCAGTTTTTACAATCGCTGGGATGTATTAAGATTGCCTTTGTTCTGACCTACTGTATAATCTATATATTTCGCGCTGGTTTAATTTTCGCGAATTTCGCAAATGCGTCCCCGACGCGAAAATAACAACACGCGAATAATTCATACCGAATAATACCGAATAATTCCTAATTCACCGACCGCAAAATTAACCACTCGCGAAGTCTGAATTCGCGAAAACATCTGTATGCGAAAAATATGGCGTATACAGCATTTAAAACATTTTCGACGTTGCTCGTGTAGTAGAAGCGTGGCAGCGAAGAAAAGAGTGGCAGTCCAGCGAAACGCTCGAGGAAGCTGGCTAGCAGATCTCCCGTGGTCGCTCAGCTAGACGTGACGGAGAGTGACGAGGAAACCTTCTACTACACTCCGCCGCAGAGCCGACCGCAGCTGATGCGGCTGCAGCACACAGACCTACCTGTCACGTTCAGTAATGTATCTGATGTTTATGTTTTCTACCACCAGGTGTCAGTAGTAGGACGACCACGGCCATAATGTAATGCAACGCAGAATGAATATTGTCAACTTTATCTACAAGCATCTGCTTATCTATTCACCATAACCATCACTAGATACGTGTTCAACAGCGCGAACGCTCGCGTGCGCTTGCCTTCTGAACGACACCGCGCAGTCGAGCGCGATCAGGCTCCCCGAGGCTGTTCGCGCAGCGCACCAGTTGTTTTCAAGATGGCGATCTGGTTAATCCATTTCATTTTTCAATCGTTCATTCTCTTCTGAATTCAATTCATATCAATTTCTTCTGCTAATTCGTTTAACAGTATTTGTTCGAAGACATTAAAATCTCACGATGAAATCTGCTGAGAAAGCCGCCATCTTGGAATACGCGAGCGCTCGGTGCATAGCTCGGTGTCGTTCAAGTGGCGCTGCGTTCGTGCTGCGAACGTTCGCGCTGTTCAACACGCCTCAGAAGATGCTACACTACCACTCCCCCCAAGCGCAATGTGCCACACAAGCACGTCAAGCGCGTATGTCACTCGCCAACCGCTGCTCCTCTATCATGGTCACCTCAGCGCAGCTACAAGGTAAGGGCAAAGATCAAGCAGGCAGTGAGTACGTACGTGAGTATTCGCTTGGCTTTGTTATGTTTGATTTTGAGTTACATATACACTTCTAGTGCATACCTATGAAGCACTCATGCAAGAAATGTTTATTTTCATTAAAGAGGGGAGATGTTACGATATATGACCGCCAGATGTCGCGTCGAGAACAACGTGTGTGTCGCGTAGTATGCACGCATGGTGTTGGAGCATTCCAGTTATTCAAAAAAGATATCTGCGTTGACTATATGCACATGTGTGAGCATCAAACATAACAGGCTTCTTCCCTATATGTCTAGGGCGTAGTGTCATTTCAGTCTATGGTTGGACTGCATATACAGTCTATAGTGTATATATATTATATACATATACCCTATTAATTGGTACATTATGACATACATTTCATGGTAAAATAGTTATGTTTTATTTATTTATTTTTTTAATATTCAGAACACAACTGAGTTTTTTTAAACAGCAAAATAATTTGCAAACTTTTAACGTTTGTACTCGTGGTTATTAAATCGCGCCAATTCACCAAAGCATTATACCGATAATCTACACATTTCTATATAAACTGAATAGTGTTACTACATATACTCGATTTTACATTGCAATGAAACCCGTCTGCCAACACGTGCAACAATTAGAACATAGATCTACAAAGTGTTGATCATGTCTTCTGGGTTATCGCATCTCCGATCCTACATGGGCTTCCTCGTTTAACGCGCTTAGTGTCGCCTACGTTGGTCTAGCGTGTGCCCTGACAAATTCTATGAGACTCGGAGGCAGCCTGTTCTCGTATGCAACGCTGGGTCTGACGATAACGCGCGCGCAGTGGCACTTCAGCGAATGATACTGCGCGCTCATTCTGCCATGTATCTCGTCGCTCGACTCCACGTTGCCGCGGAAACACGTCGGGTAAATCCGGCGCCAGAGTTCGTATGGCGTCTCTCCCCGTGCGTTCACCACGTCGACATGTGCGCCGTGGTTGAACAGCAGCGCGTGCACTATCTGCACGCACCCCTCCCCTCCTTCTCTGCCTGCATTGTCTCTGCCTGCGAGCATCACCCTACAGAAGCTGTGCAGCGGGGTGTCGCCCTTGCTGTCGCGTGTGTTAACCTGTAGAAGTACGCCGGCGGACTCGCACGTCTGTAGGAGAGCTGACGCCGCTTGTACCACTGACGCTGCTTGTACTGCTCGCCTGCTCATTTTGGCGCTTCTCACCTCCGCCTGGCTGCCTATTATAGCGAGCGGCGTTCTCTTGTTACAATCGACGAGGTTCGGGTCAGCTCCGTGTTTCACGAGGTGAGTAATCATCTGTGTGAACGAAGGAATCCAGGATCGTTAACAACCCGATTTTAGGTTCGTTTTTGTTCTTATAGAAGTTTCTCCGAGCATACTACCTTTATTACTGTTGCTGATTACTAACTATTACTATTATTTAATTATTAACTATTAACCAATTACTATTACTGATTACCTTTATTATCTAGACAAAAATACATTGGAACATTGCTGAAATTGTTTCCGTCGTTCACAACGTACGCCCACATTTTTCCTCGGTCCCAACTAGATTGCAGGAGTAGTGTAATGCGGTGAAACAATTTAATATATATATTATTAACTGTTAACCGATTATTATTACTGATTACCTTTACCATCTATAAGATAATACATTAGTACATTGCTAAAATTCGGTCTCAATCACTCGCAACGCACGCCCGTAGTTTTACCTCGGTTCGAAGTCGATTCCAGGTGTAGATCAACTCGGTGATACGCCCCCTTTCTTCCGGCTCGGCGTCGGCCTTCACTAGCAGGTACACGATGTTCCGCTGGCCAACGCAAGCCGCTATGTGCAGGGTGGTCTGTCCTTGCGAGTCCGCGGCGTTGGCGTCGGCGCCATGTAAGAGCAGCATCCGCGCCACCGCCTCCTCGCCCTTACTCACCGCCATCATCAGCGGCGTCTCCCCGGTCTGCGTCTCGGCGACGTTGGGGTCTGCGCCGGCCTTCAGTAGCAGGCGCACGATGTCCAGCCGGCCAGAATGTCGAGAACGAAGGAGAATGTGCAGGGAGGTCTCTCCGTTGCGGGAGTTTACAGCGTTGGGGTCGGCGCCGGCCTCCAGTAGCAGGTGCATGATGTACAGCAGGCCATAGTTGGCCGCGTCAAACAGGGAGGTCCATCCGTGAAAGTACGCGGCGTTGGCGTCGGCGCCGTGTGAGAGAAGCATCCGCACCATTGCCTCATCGGGCTCCGTCACCGCCCTCATCAGCGGTATCGCTCCTCTCTCCGTCTTGGCGCCGTTTGGATCTGCACCGGCCTCAAGTAGCAGGCGCATGATGCCCAGCCGGCAAGAGCAAGCTGCGTGGTACAGGGAGGTCTCTCCAAAGGAGTTCGCGGCGTTGGCGTCGGCGCCGTGTGAGAGCAGCATCCGCACCATCGCCTCCTCGCCCTCCTTCACCGCCATCATCAGCGGCGTCTCTCCGATTACTTTATGGGCGACGTTGGGGTTGGCGCCGGCCGCCAGTAGCAGGCGCATGATGTCCAGCCGGCCAAAGCAAGCCGCGTGGTGCAGGGAGGTCTTTCCGCACGAGTTCGCGGCGTTGGCGTCGACGCCGTGTGAGAGCAGCATCCGCACCACCGCCTCATCGCCCTCCCTCACCGACTTCATCAGCGGCGTCTCTCCGTTTATCTGCTCGGCGACGTTGGGGTCGGCGCCGGCCTCCAGTAACAGGCGCACGATGTCCAGCCAGCCAGAGCGAGCCGTGTGGTAAAGGGAGGTCTGTCCGTACGAGTCCTTGGCGTTGGCGTCGGCGCCGTGTGAGAGCAGCATCTGCACCATCGCCTCATCGCCCTTACTCACCGCCATCATCAGCGGCGTCACTCCACCCTCCGTCTCGGCGACGTTGAGATCTGCACCGGCCTCCAGTAGCAGGCGCACGATGTCCAGCCAGCCAATGCGAGCCGCGTGGTACATGGAGGTCTGTCCGTACGAGTCCGCGGCGTTGGCGTCGGCGCCGCGTGAAAGCAGCATCTGCACCACCGCCTCCTCGCCCTCCCACGCCGCCATTATCAGCGGCGTCTCACCCCTCTTCGTCATGGCGACGTTTGGATCTGCACCGGTCTCCAATAGCAGGCGCACGATGTCCAGCCAGCCAGAGCGAGCCGCGATGTGCAAGGAGGTCCGTCCGAACGAGTCCGCGGCGTTGGGGTCGGCGCCGGCCTCCAGTAGCAGGTGCATGATGTCCAGCCAGCCACAGCAAGCCGCGTGGTACAGGGAGGTCTCTCCGTGTGAGTTCGCGGCGTTGGCGCCGTGTGATAGCAGCATCTGCACCACCGCCTCATCGCCCTTACTCACCGCCATCATCAGCGGCGTCGCCCCGCTGTCCGTATTGGCGACGTTGGGGTCGGCGCCGGCCTCCAGTAGCAGGCGCATGATGTCCAGCTGGCCAGAGCTAGCCGCGTGGTACAGGGTGGTCTGTCCGTGCGAGTCCGCGGCGTTGGCGTCAGCGCTGTGTGAGAGCAGCATCCGCACCACCGCCTCCTCGCCCTTACTCACTGCCTGCATCAGAGGCGTCGCTCCCCTCTTCGTCTCGGCGACATTGGGGTCGGCGCCGGCCTCCAGTAGCAGGCGCATGATGTCCAGCTGGCCAGACCAAGCCACGTAGTGCAGGGAGGTCATTCCGTGTGAGTTCGCGGCGTTGGCGTCGGCGCCGTGTGAGAGCAGCATCTGCACCACCGCCTCATCGCCCTTACTCACCGCCTTCATCAGCGGCGTCGCTCTACTGTTCATCATGGCGACGTTGGGGTCGGCGCCGGCCTCCAGTAGCAGGCGCATGATGTTCAGATGGCCAGAGCAAGCCGGCGATAGGACACGTGCGTTCCCACCAGCCACGGCTGCGTGCAGCATCGTTCCGTCGCCACGGTAACGCGCGCAGAGGTCCGCTCCATTGTATAGCAGCGCGGCTGCAACATCCGCGCTGGCTGTTTCGCAGGCGAGCATAAGCGGCGTTCGCCCGCGCTCATCCTTCTTTTGCAGGGGTGCGTCATGCAGCAGCAGCTGTTTCACAATCGCCATCTTCTCTTCCGTCCTGTCCCGCGAAAGTGCGCAGGCGACGTGGAGAGGCGTCTCCATGCGTACGTTCACGCACGATGTTTTCGCTCCAGCTCGCAGAAGTTCTAACACTTTCTCAACGTACCCACGTGAACAGGCAGCATGCAGGTCTGACATTCTTCTCCCAACTGTAGGCACGCACGGTGCGTCTTTCTGTTGCGCGAGGGTCCAGTGCAGTTCACCTACTTAAAATGCACACTGATGTTCACGAAGGCATGTAGAGTTGATTGTGATGTTAATATAGTGCATGACAAATCGAAATCAGCTTTGTTCTCCACGTATTCACATTTTCTGTAATGCAGTGTCCAACAGATCGCTGAAAAAGGTTATCTTCCTAATAGCACAAAAGCTGAAGTCCAAAGCCAGGAAGCAAATCTGAAAGGGGACAAATAAAGTGATTAAGCCTGGAGGATTGCCAAAGCATTGACACATCCACTTAAATATGCCTGGGGACCACCGCTTCCCAATGCTCCACCCGCTTTGCCAAGTGCAACGCGCAACTCTACAGGCATTTGGAACGTCTCAATAAAAAAATGTAAATAAACACGAAATGTATTTACTACCAAAGTCTTAATGTTTCTCGACTCTTTTTCGCCTATTATTGCCGATAATTAGCCGTTAATGCCGGTCAAAAGCTCATCTGCAACACACAAGCACACCGCACGCCCGCCCTGTGCACAAACAACACGAATAAGAAAGCTCTCAGTATACACATTGCCGTTGTCACGGTCTGAGATAACCCCCAGCACCTCGTGCGCATGCGTGACGCATGCGCAGTAGCGCTGGATAATGAGACGTCCGCAGCCACAGTCTGAGATTAGTCTGGCAGTAGGAGGGTAAATTCAAACTGGGGTAATTTCAGACCGGTCTGGAATTGTTCGCGCAAATTATATCTTAACCAGGGTGCCCATAGGCGAGTAAATTCAGACTGGGGTAATCTCAGACTGGTCTGGAATTGTTCGCGCAAATTATATCTTAACCCGGGTGCCCATAGGCGAGTAAATTCAGACTGGGGTAATCTCAGACCGGTCTGGAATTGTTCGCGTAAATTATATCTTGACCCGGGTGCCCATAGGCTGAGTAAATTCAGACTGGGGTAATCTCAGACCGGTCTGGAATTGTTCGCGTAAATTATATCTTGACCCGGGTGCCCATAGGCGAGTAAATTCAGACTGGGGTAATCTCAGACCGGTCTGGAATTGTTCGCGTAAATTATATCTTAACCCGGGTGCCCATAGGCAATTAAATTCAGACTGGGGTAATCTCAGACCGGTCTGGAATTGTTCGCGTAAATTATATCTTTAAACCTAAGAGATGCGTGTGTATATTTATCAGAGTCCATATAGTCCAGTAGCAGAACCAGAAAAAAATCGTTCACGTAGCACCCTCACTACACAATTGTTTTGACATCAGATTCTGATAGACAAATACCTACGGAATAAGTTTAGTCGTGGTGTACTAATGAATTGTGGGGTCTGGAGTGTGCTACATGACGATTTTTGGAGGGGGTGGGGTCAAATAATAATAAAGTGAATGTACATATGGCGCCATGTCAATGATTGTAATGGGTATATCTCTGGAACCAATTGTCCGATTTGACCCAAATTTGTATAGAGATCCAGCACCTGAACAAAATAAAGTTATTCCCGGATCCGTGGGATGCTGTTATGGCATCATAAGGGGAGGAGGAGGGGGAGGAGGAGGGGAACACAAAAACGTTATTATAACGTCTTTATGACGTTATGTAAAAGTTGTTATAACGTTTTTTGTAAGGTTTATATAACGTAAATGTGTAGGGTTTGTATAACGTTTTATAAACGTTTGTAAAAACGTTTTTATGTAACGTTAACATAACCTTATTGTATGGGGTCCTGGCAACGTTGAAATAACGTTAGTTAATGTATTCACAATAACATGATTATAACGTGGATTTTCTACTGAAACGTAATTTGTGTATGTTCGCGTGCGTGCGTGCATATAATACTATATATATATATATATATATATATATATATATATATAATATCAATGGAAAACAAACATACTAACAAAATCAGTGTTTACGCGAGCTGAGCACATATACACGTAGTGGAATTGATTTTATTATAGAAACTGGTGCATGCAATCAAGCCACATTTCCGAAAAGTAAAATACGTTTAATCCAGTTTAAAAATATAACTTACAATAAAAACGACATGATTTACAAATATATATATATATATATATATATATATATATATTATCCTCAATATCAACATCCAAACATAAAATTTATAATGAAATATTCGGCTATCCTAATCTGCGGATATATGCACACATAATTACAATACAGTGTTAATTTCTGAATACAAACATTCCAGATAAACATTATTATTATATAATAGTAATTAATACTATACACATATACATATCAAATCACGACCCTTCCTATATAATATTTTCAGAAATGAATAAAAGCATAATTACAATCAAGAACTAATTATAGTACCTATATAACTAGGAGCTGAGCTATAATAAGGTATTATTAGCTCTCGACACTGCGGCAACTGTACGCGGGCTATAGTAGGCCTACTAGAGCTAACTCGATACATACTCAGCCCGGTCTGCCCAGATCGACTGCATTGTGATAACTTTTTGTAGCCAATGCACACACACGCGGCCGCACGCGCGCGCGCACGCACGCACGCAAGCACGCACGCAAGCACACACACACACACACACAACACAACACACACCACACAACACA